TCTCTTGGCATATATGGCATACATGGCATATATGGCATACATGGCATATATGGCATACATGGCATATATGGCATACATGGCATACATGACATACATGGCATACGTGGCTCTGATACTAATATAGATGTGCATACGAAGATAACAAACGAAGATAAAGAAGATAACAGAGTTCTTGTTAAGATAAATTCCACTCCCTTTAAAGGTATCTCTTTAGATAGTATTCCCTCTTCTAGTCCAGATTTAGGTCCCATGTTTTCTAAACAAGAACATCTTTTTGAAATAACCTATACTCCTGAAAAATTTTCTGAAACTAGTTCTCAATTGATTAATCCTTATCATGTTTATGATAAATCTAGCTTAAATTGGACCAAAAGAATCAAAAGTTGTGTGGAAAAAAGAACCTTGAAGCCATTAAAGAACATGTTCAAGCCTCTTCTTTTGACCAACATCAAATACCTGCTACCCAGACTGAACAGTACATTACTATTACCTTACCTAGAAACCTATTTCCCTAATGGCTTAAAGATGGATATACTCATATTCATTTTGGAGCTATAAAGTTAGCCTTAACATTTCATGGAAGAAAAGGTATGGAAGCTGTTTCCCGAATTGCTTTGTTAGATTCCAGATTTTTAGAATACCAGCATGCCTGTATCGGAACTGTGCAAACAACCTTAAACGCTGACACTATTTTTGTTACCTTTTTCCCAAACTTTAATATCCCTATCAAAGACCGTCCTTTGAGTTTTGCTTTCAAAGTCCAACTACAAATTACAGGAACCAAGCAAATTGAGACAGCCACTGTAGCTACATTCCATTATGAAATAGTGTATAGATTACAGAACCATGCTTTTGATATAGTTACCCCTTTACCTCCTAAACATGAAAATACTGCCTGTTAACAGAGTTCCTGTTAAGATAACAAAGATAAGAGGATAACAGGATATCAAGAAGGTAGAACAGAATTAACACGCACACCAAAAGTTTATAAGGATCAAACTTACAAGCACTAGCAGAAGTAGGAAGCTTACAAGCAAAAGCAGAAGTAAGAAAAAGCACACCAAAAGAAAGAAACTAGGCTAAGAGGCTCTAAGTAGCGCTCTGCCGTCACAAATGACTTAAGGGGCCTTTTATAAGCACCGGACTTAAAATCCGGATTCCAAACCATAATAAAATAAGACAGCTGGCCTGTACAGGTGGCCATTATGAACAGTAAAAAGTAGATGTACAGTGGACAAGTGGCCGACATGAACAGTAAAAAATGGATGTACAGTGGACAGGTGGCCGACATGAACAGTGAACCGTAGGATTCTCTCTTATCTTGAACAGTGATTTCCACGTCCTCATCTTATCTTGAACAGTGATTTCCACGTCCTCATCTTATCTTGAACAATGATTTTCACGTCCTCGTCTGATCTTGAACAGTGATTTTCAATCAGTGTCATAATTGAGGGGAAGACCATCAGAATTGTAACTTGGTGAAGAATGATTGGACGGACTGTGTGAGGGTCCAATGTAGGTATCATCACTGGAACTATCTGTTTGTATTTCTGCAGGAGGAAGGTGATCAGCAAGCCATATATGCAGTTGGTGTAGCAGTGCAGCTCCTCGGGGAGTTTCATCATTCCAAACTGTGGTTCCTGTATAGACATCCAAAGGAATTCATTCTGGCTGGATTATGTTAATGTAGCACATGAAAATTTTTAACTCTTTCCATAATTCTGTTTGAAATATCCAAAAATTCAGGAGATTAGAATCATACCATCAAATGGTTTGGATCTGAGCATGTTGGGTAAAATAGGTATGTTCAGGATAAATTTGGGGTCTAAGGTCTTGATGGAAAACTATAATGATATAAGGTCGATGTGGATAACCAAAGGATTCAATCCATTGATTATAATGGTAATGCTTTAAAAGAAATTTATAGAAGTTGAATGCTCTGGGATTGGGGTGGATGTAATTGTTCCATTGTAGGAAATGACAGTGTCTGAGGTAGGATAATAATTTTCTTACATGGAAATTAAAACATATATGGTGGTTTTGGGTAAGATACTAGAGGAAACAAAGAGCTTCTTTTGGCATATTATAATAATGTCTGGTTTGGAATAAGGATAAAAATGGATATGTAGGATGGCATCGAATTCCTTGAAAACATTCTCCATGATTTCTGATTAATATTTCATACTTGTTTTGTTGCATATTCTCATTTCTTGATTCCATTGTTTTATTGAGAATGATGTCATATATTTCATCAGGAACATCTTTTGATTCATCATCAATTCTGATTATTGCTCTTAGAAAAGGAACAACTTGAAGACCAGTTTCTTCATAAAATTTTCTTCAAGAAAATATATCTGCCAATATTGTTCTTTCCAGAAATATGCTTATACTCAAAATTCCATTGAGAAAACCAACTTACCCATCTGAGTAATTGGGGATTCGGGAGAATCTTATTTTTGAATTTGAGCATATTTGGAAAAGTAGATAAATTCATTTCAACAAGGAAAGTATGTCCTATTAGATGAAATTGGAATTTTTCAATTCCTCTTTTTACTACAAGGATTTCCTTGAATGTAGAATGATAATGAAGTTTAGAATCTTTGAATTTTCCACTGTTATATGCACAAATCATTCTGTCTTTATCTTTTTCTTCCAGCAAGATACATGTCCAAAATTCATCAGAAGCATCTGTTTGCAAAATTCTTTTTCCTGTAGTTGGGATTTTTAAAGAAGGTAAATTTTGAGATTAATCTTTTGAGCTTTAGAACACACTCAGTCTGTTTTCTTGTTCATGGTGGTGCTTTTTTCTTTAGCAAAAGGTAAAGAGGACTAGTGAAAAGAGAAAGCTTGGGAATAAAAGGGGACATATAATTTACAATTCCTAAAAATTGCTGAATTTGCTTTACAGAAGATAAAGTATCTGGGAATTCTAGCAAGTGTTTGGCTATATGGGGCTGGAGTTTATACATTCCATTGTGAAAATGCATACCAAGGAAATCTATTTCTGTTTAGCAAAGACACATTTCTTTTCGGAAAGCATAATACCATATTTACAACAGAGGGAGTGGAATTTATCTAACAGGAGAATATGACTATCAAGATCAGGATAAAAGAGGAGTATGTCATCTATATATATGAATGCCTGTGTTGAGATTGGTTCAAAAATATTGCTTAAGAATATTTGAAAAT